GATCGCCACCCACCTAGATATTCAACCCAGGGCAACATGAATTTAGAGCAGGCCGCTCCTGCCAGCCAGTTTCGTGGTTTCATTACTACATAAACTGCTTAAGGAGGCTGGTATTCAGACGGGAGGTGGTTGAAATTAGCCTTGAGCTTACCACTACCACGAGTGTCCTCGGATCACAAACAACACCTAGCTCTGCTGGGTGCGTGATCCCTGATCTTTGAAGGCTCTCTGGTTAAGTGGTTAAGGCAGTGCGAACGTTGTGGTGTGTGTGTATGAGTGTATGTGCGTGTGTGTGTGTGTGTACTCACCTATTTGTACTCACCTATTTGTGGTTGCAGGGGTCGAGTCCTAGCTCCTGGCCCCGCCTCTTCACCGGTTGCTACTAGACCCTCTCTCTCCCCGCTCCATGAGCTTTATCAAACCTCGTCTTAAAACTGTGTATGGTTCCTGCCTCCACTACGTCTTTTTCTAGGCTATTCCACTGCCTTACAACTCTATGACTGAAGAAATACTTCCTACTATCTCTCTGACTCATTTGTGTCTTCAACTTCCAATTGTGGCCTCTTGTTTCTGTGTCCCCTCCCTGGAACATCCTGTCCTTGTCCACCTTGTCTATTCCACGTGTGTGTGTGTGTGTGTGTGTGTGTGTGTGTGTGTGTGTGTGTGTGTGTGTGTGTGTGTGTGTGTGTGTGTGTGTGTGTGTGAGTGAGTGTGTGCGACTCAACAATCAATATTTGCACCAATAACTCATTACAGTTGTGACCGGGTGTGGAAGTGTGAATTACTCATTACTCTATAATTTGTTCATGATTGTACCCATGTATAAACGTAAGTGACCATTCTTGCAGGATTCATTACATTTGTACCTATTTCAGCTATCAAAACTTTGGGGCCCAGTCCCTGGACCCATTACGTACCTCTATAATCTGTAAATACCTTTGTAACTTGTCATGATTGTGACTAGACCTACCTGGAGTTCATTACCTTTGTAAATTGTGTGTTCAATACCTTTGTAAATTGTGAGTTCATTACCTTTGTAAATTGTGAGTTCATTACCTCTGTAACTTGCTCATCTATCAAAACTTTGGAGTCCAGTCCCTGGACCAATTATGTACCTCTGTAATCTTTGGACTACCGCCCACAGGATGGGTATGGAGTGCATGATAAACATATTAAACTAAAACCAACTCTTGAGGCGGGATAATGTGTCGCATGATCTATTTTCGGCTGGCCGCAGTTTGGTGCATATATATATATATATATCCCCTCAAGGAAGGCTCCTTGACGCTGGTGAGGGGCTCTTGATCTAGGGAATTGGATCTGTGCTCCAGTTCCCTGAATTAAGCCTGAATGCCTTCCATCCCCCCATAGCGCTGTATAATCCTACGGGTTTAGTGCTTCCCCTTGATTATAATAATAATAATAATAATATATATATATATATATATATATATATATATATATATTATAATATATATATATATATATATATATATATAATATATATATATATATATATATGTCGTGCCGAATATGTAAACTGGTCAATAGCAAGAATCATTTAAAATAAATCCTTCTAAAATTTTCTCTTATACGTTTAAAGATATATTTTTTTCATTAATGTTAATGTAAAAATTTTTAATTCTGCACCAAAAGAATCTTAGAAAACTTACCTAACCTTATTATAACAAGAACAATTTATTTTAGCCTAACCCAACTAAATATATTTTAGATTTGTTTACAATAATTTAATACTAAACAAACACAATTAAATATATTTTTTTCGTTAGGTTCAGAATGATTTTGGCGAAAGTATTGCATACACAAGTTTTCACTTGTCCCATATGGCAAGATGAACGTTGCTATTTAAGCCAAGATCGCAAATTCTGCCTATTCGGCACGACATATAATATATATATATATATTATATATATATATATATATATATATATATATATATATATATATATATAGCTACAGATTTAGTGTACTTTAAAATATTTTATTATACGTAATTGCTTTGTATGGCAACTAGCGGCTTGTCATGTCATCATTTATGAACCATAAAACATTATCTGTTAACCTATCAGTCTTCATGGTAATAAAGGCTTAATTTTATATTAGTATTATTGCTATACTTATATACCATACTGAAATGCAAAAGTTCATTAATTAATAACAAAACATTATTATCGTGAAAAATTTTAAAAGTTGATATTGTGGCATCAGATGTAAAAGTAAATAAACAGTGGCATGTGCTTCTGGGAGACTGCAGTGATACCAACAGTGAGTCCTACCTGTGACCGGTAAGTCAGTGGAAGGCCTCGGTCAGATGACCAAAAGCTCCAGCTGCGGGTCATCATCTAAGACCCGCGTCTGGAAACGCTAGTCCTGTTTCCTGACAAACCTTACCTAACCTAATCTAGTTAATAATAATAATATCTTTATTTCTATAAGTACATGTACAAGGTATACAGACCATAGCTGACATCAGTGACATACTACTACATAGAAAGCCGCTTATTATGCGGAGCATTTCGGGCACATTAGGTTATTTTTGTCCCGAGATGCGACCCACACCAGTCAGTTACCCATTTTACTGATGGGCGATCAGGGACAACCAGTGTAAGGTAACGCGTCCAATGCTTTTTACCCCTCGCTGGGAATCGAACCCGAACCCGTCGTCGTGTGAAGCGAGAGCTTTAGCCTTGAAAGGCACGTGAGTTTCCCTGTCTCCTAATATCATGTTTATTTCCCCCCTATAATCTACCTTGTCCATTTGTTTTATCTGCCTTCGTAAGATGAAGTCTAGCCCAGAGGCTAACTCGACTGTCTGGAGTTTTGAGACTGACCGCGGGTTCTAATCCCACCCGTGGTATGCTTTATTAAGGCAAGGTCCTAGACGTCACCTTACAAAAGGAGATAAAGGAAATGCGATAGTAATTATGGACAAGGTAGATTATAGGGAAAAAAATATCATATTAGAAAGCAGGGGAACTGAACGGGGCCCTTAAAGAACCAAATAACAACACCGTGACAGGAACAATACACAAATAACCCGCACGTGGGAAAGAAAAGCTTACGACAACGTTTCGGTCCGTCGTAAACCTCTGTCTCCTTCACAGTAGTGAAGCCTTAGTGTAGGTGATACTGGCGGAGATCAAACATAATATATTACTACTTCTATCTTACGACCACAGGATGGGTATGTGGTGAATAATAAAGATGTTAAATTATAACTTATACCACCATTACTTCTTCTATTGTACCCATTTTGGGTTATCCTATGTTCTCTACATATACTGATATGTATGATAATGACTCACGAAATCGTAATGACACGATTGCAAACAAACCATACCACGGGCGGGGATAGAACCTGCGATCAGTCTCTCAAAACTTTTTTATGTATGATAATCTGTGTAACTGTATTTGTGTATACCTAAATAAACTTACTAACTTAACCTTTTAAAATGTCTATGTATTAGGGCAGCTAGACTACAATTTCACTATATTTGTTTCTGATACAAAGAGGTGGCCACTGTTATATGTTAATTATGATTCCTATGGAAATAAGTCACCCAGACTGATTTTTTTTTGGGGGGGTATCATAGGTAATTTACACTATGATAGTTGTATTTATTTGTACCTGTACCTAGAGGGACTAGTACCGAACTTGCACACGAAAATCACTCACTACGAAAGCAAAAGACTTGGCAGACGATGCACCATCCCCCCAATGAAAAGCAGGGGTGTCACTAGCACGTTAAGAGACCATACAATAAGTGTCAGGGGCCCGAGACTGTTCAACTGCCTCCCAGCACACATAAGGGGGATTACCAACAGACCCCTGGCAGTCTTCAAGCTGGCACTGGACAAGCACCTAAAGTCAGTTCCTGATCAGCCGGGCTGTGGCTCGTACGTTGGTTTGCGTGCAGCCAGCAGCAACAGCCTGGTTGATCAGGCGCTGATCCACCAGGAGGCCTGGTCACAGACCGGGCCGCGGGGGCGTTGACCCCCGAAACTCTCTCCAGGTAAACTCCAGGCAATACCTAAATAATCTTACTAAATATCTTCCGAGTGAGTATTGCGTAGCTACCCGGATCTATATGACATTCTACAGCATTAAGAGCAAAAATGAACTGTTTAACACACCCATCGTGTAGAATTACCCACAATATATTCCATCACATTGGACTGAATCTTATTACTAACGGTTATAATTATAGTTCATGGTTGCCTTGATCCTAGTCAAAGGTAATTGATCCAAATAGTTGGGGATCAAGCCTGACTGCTTTACATTTTCTTGTTTCTGTATGACCCTTACGGGTTGAGCGCTTACTCATGAATAAAATAGAAGACAAGAGAAGAGATTTTAGGTAAGACCCTTGTGGGGTGAGCTGGGAAGTGGGGATAGGGAGAGTAGATTGGTGAAAGTTTATTCAGGTATACACAAATACAGTTACATAGATTATCATACAGTGAAAGCAGGTTTGCCACTAGCCGATAAGAGACACCACAATAAGTGTCAAGGGCCCAAGACTGTTCAACTGCCTCCCAGTACACATTAGGGGGATTACCAATAGACCCCTGGCTGTCTTCAAGTAGGCACTGAACAGGCACCTAAGTCAGTACCTGACCAGCAGGGTTAATAAGTAAGTTTATTCAGGTATACACAAATACAGTTACATAGAATTATCATACATAGCAGCATATGTGTAGAGAACCTAGGATAACCCAAAAAAAGTCACAGAGTGACTTATTTCCATTGGGGTCCTTTTACCTTATTATTATAATATAAAGGTTACAATATTTTCTTATTATTCTATAATGAAGATAACATCTTATTATCATACTAAAAAGACTATCTACTACACGAGGGTCATTAAAACTATCTACAATACGAGGTCATTTACTAGGAATAAGGTAAAATTTACACGTATGTTCGAACTTACTGTGTACTGTGGTTCGTACTTTGGATTACGTGCGGCCAGCAGTAACAGCCTGGTTGATCAGGCCCTGATCCACCATGAGGCCTGGTCACAGACCAGGTCGCGGGGGCGTTGACCCCCGGAACTCTCTCCAGGTATACGTAGCAGCATATGTGTAGAGAGCCTAGAATAACCCCCAAAAAGAAGTCAGAGTGACTTATTTCCATTGGGAAGGTTATGAGTGGAAGAGATAGTGCCAGGGCTTAACCCAGTAGCTAAAACGATCGTGGCTCTGGAGACTGGTGTAGTGAGGAGGACTAATAAGGCAAACGGATTGAGTGAGTGATAAAAAATAACTCCAAAGAGAGTTTCCGGAGGGTGTCTTGCCACTGGGATCTGGTAGTACTGCATCACTCTGTTAGACAACAATGGTGATGCTCTCCAGGTAACAACTTTTGTACAGTCAGCGGGACGAGCAGAAACATTGAGGTTGGCTATATGTCTCCTGAAACAGAAAAACGCTTTTAAGTGTTGGTCAACATTAAGTAAGCTTAAATCAAACTAGCTTAGAATGGTAAGTGAGCAGTATATTGTCATTTTAATTAAACAATGATCTGCTAATGGTAGATAATAATAATAATATCTTTATTTCTATAAGTACATGTACAAGGTATACAGGCCTAGCTGACATCAATGATACTACTGAGCATTTCGGGCATATTAGGTCAATTTTGTCCCAGGATGCGACCCACACCAGTCCACTAACACCCAGGTACTCATTTTATACTGATGGGTGAACATGGACAGCAGGCGTCTTATGGAAACACGTCCCTAATGTTTTCCAGCCGTACCAGAGAATCGAACTCCGGACCTCAGTGTGTGAGGCGAGTGCGCTAGCGATTGAGCTACAGAGCAACTGGTCCATGTAGCGTTCATCAGAGGACGAGTACTTAAAATTCCTTGGATCAAAAGCCATGCCATAGCAACATAGCAAAGACTCCCCTATTAATAACGTCCACCGACCAGATCAGTTTTAATATTTGTTGAATTAGTATTACTTGTCAAAACTGAAGATTAGATAATTCAGTGGTTTTATTAGAGCATTCTAACGACTAAAATTTAGCAACAGGTACAGAGGGGAAAAGAAAATTTATTATACAGAATATATTAACATAAACTGTGCGGTGCATGACAATGGAAATTTTTAGTTTACAGTATATTACAAGTGGAAACAGTGATAAAAAAAGTGTGTGTGTGTGTGTGTGTGTACTCACCTAGTTGTACTCACCTAGTTGAGGTTGCGGGGGTCGAGTCCGAGCTCCTGGCCCCGCCTCTTCACTGATCGCTACTAGGTCACTCTCCCTGAGCCGTGAGCTTTATCATACCTCTGCTTAAAGCTATGTATGGATCCTGCCTCCACTACATCGCTTCCCAAACTATTCCACTTACTGACTACTCTGTGGCTGAAGAAATACTTCCTAACATCCCTGTGATTCATCTGTGTCTTCAGCTTCCAACTGTGTCCCCTTGTTACTGTGTCCAATCTCTGGAACATCCTGTCTTTGTCCACCTTGTCAATTCCTCTCAGTATTTTGTATGTCGTTATCATGTCCCCCCTATCTCTCCTGTCCTCCAGTGTCCGTCAGGTTGATTTCCCTTAACCTCTCCTCGTAGGACATACCTCTTAGCTCTGGGACTAGTCTTGTTGTAAACCTTTGCACTTTCTCTAGTTTCTTCACGTGCTTGGCTAGGTGTGGGTTCCAAACTGGTGCCGCATACTCCAATATGGGCCTAACGTACACGGTGTACAGGGTCCTGAATGATTCCTTATTAAGATGTCGGAATGCTGTTCTGAGTTTGCTAGGCGCCCATATGCTGCAGCAGTTATTTGGTTGATGTGCGCTTCAGGAGATGTGCCTGGTGTTATACTCACCCCAAGATCTTTTTCCTTGAGTGAGGCTTTGTAGTCTCTGGCCCCCTAGACTGTACTCCGTCTGCGGCCTTCTTTGCCCTTCCCCAATCTTCATGACTTTGCACTTGGTGGGATTGAACTCCAGGAGCCAATTGCTGGACCAGGTCTGCAGCCTGTCCAGATCCCTTTGTAGTTCTGCCTGGTCTTCGATCACGTCATCTGCAAACAGGGACACCTCAGAGTCTATTCCTTCCGTCATGTCGTTCACAAATACCAGAAACAGCACTGGTCCTAGGACTGACCCCTGCGGGGCCCCGCTGGTCACAGGTGCCCACTCTGACACCTCGCCACGTACCATGACTCGCTGCTGTCTTCCTGACAAGTATTCCCTGATCCATTGTAGTGCCTTCCCTGTTATCCCTGGTGTGTGTGTGTGTGTGTGTGTGTGTGTGTGTGTGTGTACTCACCTAATTGTACTCGCCTAATTGTGGTTGCAGGGGTCGAGACTCAGCTCCTGGCCCCGCCTCTTCACTGATCATTTCTAGGTCCTTCCCTCTCTGCTTCCTGAGCTTTGTCATACCTCTTTCTTAAAACTATGTATGGTTCCTGCCTCCACTACTTCAACTTTCACTTGCTAGGCTATTCCACTTTGGTGTGTGTGGTGTGTGGTGTGTGTGTGTGTGTGTGTGTGTGTGTGTGGTGTGTGTGTGTGTGTGGGGTGTGTGTAGGTTGTACTCACCTATTGTGGTTGCAGGGGTCGAGACTCAGCTCCTGGCCCTGTCTCTTCACTGAATGCTACAGGTTCTCTCTCTCCCTTCTCCATGAGCTTTATCATACCTCATCTTAAAGCTATGTATGGTTCCTGCCTCCACTACCTCACTTGCTAGGCTATTCCACTTCCTGACTACTCTATGACTGAAGAAGTACTTCCTGACATCCCTTTGACTCATCTGGGTCTTCAACTTCCAATTGTGACCCCTTGTTTCTGTGTCCCCTCTCTGGAACATCCTGTTTCTGTCCACCTTGTCTATTCCACGCTGTATTTTGTATGTCGTTATCATGTCTCCCCTAACCCTCCTGTCCTCCAGTGTCGTCAGACCGATTTCCCTTAGCCTTTCTTCGTAGGACATACCCCTTAGCTCTGGAACTAACCTTGTTGCAAACCTTTGCACTTTCTCTAATTTCTTGACGTGCTTGATCAAGTGTGGGCTCCAAACAAGTGCTGCATAGTCCAGTATGGGCCTGACAAACACGGTGTACAGTGTCTTGAACGATTCCTTATTAAGGTATCGGAATGCTATTCTCGGTTTGCCAGGTGCCCATATGCTGCAGCAGTTATCTGGTTGATGTACTCACCTAGTTGTAGTTGCAGGGGTCGAGTCATAGCTCCTGGCCCCCACCTCTTCACTGCACTTTAGGAGATGTGCTCGGTATTATACTCACCCCAAGATCTTTTTCCTTGAGTGAGGTTTGCAGTCTTTGGCCACCTACCCTATACTCTGTCTGCAGTCTTCTTTGCCCTTCCCTGATCTTCATCACTTTGCATTTAGCAGTTTTTTTTTTGTGTGTGTACTTGCCTAGTTGTGGCTGCAGGGGTCGAGTCTCAGCTCCTGGCCCCCGCCTCTTCACTGGCCGCTACTCAGTCACTCTACTTGTTCCGTGAGCTTTATCATACTTCTCCTTAAAGCTATGTATAGATCCTGCCTCCACTACATCACTTCCCAGACTATTCCACTTCCTGACAACTGTGTGACTGAAAAAATACTTCCTGACATCCATATGGTTCATCTGAGTCTTCAACTTCCAACTGTGACTGTGACTTCCAACTGTGTGTACTCACCTAATTGTGGTTGCAGGGGTCGAGACTCAGCTCCTGGCCCTGCCTCTTCACTGATCGCTACTAGGTCCTCTCTCTCTCTGCTTCCTGAGCTGTCATACCTCATCTTAAAGCTATGTATGGTTCCTGCCTCCACTACGTCACCTGCTAGGCTATTCCACTTTCTGTGTGTGTGTCTGTGTGTGTGTGCGTGTGTGTGTGTGTGTGTGTGTGTGTTTGTGTGTGTTGGGGTGGTGTGTGTGTGTGTGTGTGTGTGTGTGTGTGTGTTGTGTGCGCGTGCATGTGTGTGAAACAACCACGGAGGAAGTAGAATGATAGCTCTAGGCCTTTCGTGTTGCAATCAACACATCATCAAGAGCTTGCAAAGTTGCAAAATGTGTCCACAGATGTGAAAAATGGATCTCGTGGGGAAAAAATCTCTAGAGAAACAGATGCCAACACCTCAGTCAAAGCTAACGACCAATCTCCCACAAAAGCCGTAGATCATTACAAATACTACAGCAGGCCTTCAGGTCCATGGTAGGCAAGCCTAACTTGAGCCTACCCCCACCCACTCATTTACCCATCCAACCTATATTTAAAATTATCCAAAGTTTTTGCCTCAGTGATGCTAATGTAACTGGGATTTCTTCAACATGAAATTTCATTCCCTATTTATAATAATAAACAATGAATAAATCTTAACTTTTACAAGTACATGATACAACTATTACAGACCTAGCTGACATCATTGCCATGCTCTATAGAAAACCCATGGTCATGCAGAGCATTATGGGTAACTTAGAGTGAATTGTGTCCCCCCATGTTGCGACCCACAACATTCTTACAAGACACACTACAGTCTTACAAGACACACTACAGTCCTACAAAAGCACTACAGTCTTACAAGACACACTACAGTCTTACAAGACACACTACAGTCTTACAAGACACACTATAGTCTTACAAGACACACTGTCTTGTAAGACTGCCTAACATCCAGGTACATACCTACTTCTGTGTGACAACAAGTATAAGGAAACATGCCCAACATTTCACCCGTACTGGGGATTGATCCCGGACACTCAGTGTGTGAGCTGAAAACTATTAATGAAGCCACGAGCACCCATCACATGTGATGGATTGTCAGGAAAACCATCATGTGTGATGGATTTTGTCAGGAAAAAAGTGATGGAATATGACAGAAAAACCATGTGTGATGGAGTATAACAAGAAAATCATCATATGTGTCTAAAACAAAAATCATAAGACTAGATTTTTAACTCCGGAGGGTTACTCACGCAGGATCACCCAAGAAAGTCAGTGTGTCATTGAGGGACTGTCTGTCTTATTTCCATTGGGGTCCTCAGTCTTGTCCTCCAGGCTGCGATCCACATCAGTCGACTAACACCCAGGTACCTACTTGCTTGCTAGGTGAACAGGGACAACAGGTGTAAGGAAACATACCCAGTGTTTCCACCCGGCAGGGTATCAAACCATGGACACTCAGTGTGTGAGGCAAGAGCATTGCCTACCAGGCCATAGGACACCATCTGTTTCCAATTTTCTTTAACTAATCAGTATATGTAATTCTCTTGTGTCAGATCAAGGAAGCATGCAGTGAGTGAATACTATATCATACATGGAAATAAATTACAAGTGGATGTCTATGGTTTTCTTTACCTTCCCCTTCGCTTGACATTATTAAATTGTATATAAAGTGAAATTTTATTTTCATAATCTTAAATAGTTTTACTGATGTAAAATATTTTTTTGTTTTTTTTTCAGAAATGCCCATGCATGGTATCTTGAGGCAAATACTGTATTGAGGGGGGCTGTTCACTATTAATGTATGACCAGAGTCTTTAAATACCTATTGGTGAACCTGATTGGTAAGGTAGTTGTTTGTGTAATTTGATTTTATTTGGATAAAAATTACTGCAAATTATATAAATTTCATGCAGCACTGTATGACCCTTATGGGTTTAGTGCTTAGTTGTGATTGTAATGATAATAATAGTTACATATAAATTTCAAATGGCCATATAATTTGAAGTACAGTGTGTAGTGTATGTATATTAAATGACTGAGCAAATATGATAATTGAAGCAAATTTTATAAATACATACATGTATTATTAGTAAAATTGTATATGTATTTATCAAATTAGTATATTCAAATTTGGGAACTACTTTTCTGAAAATCATTACTGTAATTTTTTAAATGAATTTTATCACCAGTTATACAGTATGGCGAGTGAAAGAGATGACATACCTATTCTCTCCGGGGACTCTGAAACTGAGCAGAACATAGAGAGTATAGACGCCATAGATATTGCCAGCTCTTCATGTCTTGATGAGCGCATAATTGGAGTGGAAGAAAACAGGGAACAAGGATGCTGCACGAAAGTGAAGAATGCTTTGCGAGGAATCACAACAGAGCCGATAATTTTTTTGAACGTTCTTGGTTGGACAGTGCAGTCATCAGTAACAACTAATTTGTTGCTGTTTAAGGTATGTAAGGACTTTTTTTTGTCTTCCAGTTTATCTTGGTTTTAAATAAATATATATACAGTAAACTCTCTCATAATGTGCAGGTTGCACTCCTGAAAATCTAGGCTTATGTCAAAGTGATGAACCAATGGGTAAAATAGGGTTATGTTCCAGACACAAAAATTTGCCATTTTTTTTTTTTTTTTTAACTATTGTACTAGGAAAAATTGCTAGTCATTCATTATTTGAAGTACATATTTGAAAAGTGTGGGGAAGTTAAACCTGAACCTGCTGGTCCGAGTTGGATGTAGCTGAAGTTGATCAGCTAACACTCATTACATGTGATCTTTGTCATAATGAGAGCCACATTTTCCCTGCCAATTTTTTAACCAAAACAAATGGAGTTTAACATACTTATATCAAAGATAAATGCATTCAATAAAGTCAGCATAGAAAAATATTAATAAACAGTGGAGTGTGTGTGTGCGTGCACATACATATGTACATACATATGTGCAACATACCCCTACCAGGAGGCAGATAGCTTCATATCTAGAAGATGAAGGGAGAAATGGCAAAAGCAAAGAGAGCCTATTTTTTTAAAGAAAAAATGCAGAGAAAAAATCAAGAGCATGAAAAACTAAAGAATGCAAAGTATAGACAAAAAGTGAATGGAATAGAACAAATTGTATTCAAGAGTGAAGAGAGAGAGGCTAAAGCGTCACTTTGAGAATGACACAGCAACAGAAGTTATGTCTGAACCAAAACTGCATCACAGCCCCACATCAGAAGAAGAAGAAAGAGGCATCAGAGACCTAGTAATATATTGATGAAGAAAGGAAGAGAGCTCATAAAAAATGACGGGAAAATTGTGTGAGGTATTGAAAAAAAGATTTAAGAGTTCTCAGTGAAATAGTAGCAACAGCAGATAGTTAAGTAGAAAGGGTACATCAACAGGTACCGACACTATACACACAACAGAGGAAAAAGGTGAAAAAAACTGAGTCACTAGTCAAGGTTATTTAAAAGGTCATGGATTCTGCAATAGAGGCACTGACCACTAAGATCTGCAACAAGTCAGGGATATGAGACAGTTACCAGAAAGGAAATGGACAGGAAGTGTTGAACTATAGACCAGCATTACTGACATAATCCTGTAAAGTAAGTTTAGTTTAATAGGTTTATTTGCACCCCCATACCCACCCTGTGGGCGGTAGTCAAAAGATTACAGAGGTACATAATTGGTCCAGGGACTGGACTCCAAAGTTTTGATAGCTGAGCAAGTTACAGAGGTAATGAATTCAACAATTTACAAAGGTAAATGAACTCACAAATTACAAAGGTAATGAACTCCGGGTAGGTCTAGTCACAATCATGACAAGTTACAAAGGTATTTTACAGATTACAGAGGTACGTAATGGATCCAGGGACTGGCCCCAAAGTTTGGATGGCTGAATAGTACAAGGTAATGAACTCACAAGTTACAAAGGTAATGAATACTGTAAGAATGGTTACTTACGTTTCATACATGGCTACAATCTGAACAAATTATAGTGTAATGAGCAATTCACACTTCCACACCCGGTCACAACTTTAATGAGTTATTGGTGCAAATATTGATTGTTGAGTCACACACACCACATACACAACACACACAACAACACAGAACAACACACTACACACACAGCACACACTGCAGACAACACACACACAAAGCCATAATTTTAAACGCTGTGACACAGCATCAAAACAACGAGCAACCTGTAGAGCTGGTTAGGAGTAAGACTGCTTCCAGTATCTTGCAAATAAATAGTGATAAAAAAGGGTAAACACCTCAAAACACACCCACAAATCTAAGCATGTCAAAGTGATAACCAATGAAATTGGTTTATGAGACACAAGAAATTTTGCATTTTTTTTTTTTATTTAAAACTTTGGTACTAGGACTGAATTCTAATCATTCAGAGGTAGAAAGTACATTTAAAAGGCGGAGGGAAGATTGAACGTAAACCTGGGTCTGAATAAGAATGGGGGCTGAAGGCGGGATCAGCTTTAACACCTTCCCTATGTGATCGTTGTCATGATGACTACCACATTTTTGGCATGTTTAACCAAACAATAGGAAGTTTAAATATTTATATTCCAAGTGTATGTTCTATAAGTCGGGCATGAAACATTTAATAAACAGTGGCGTCTGAGGTGCGTGGCACATCCACTATTCATCAAATGTGCACATACTCAAGGCAGAGGCAGTACCTTCATCGTCTAGAAGATGAAGGGAGACAGGGCAAGACACTAGGCCTGTCTTAGCCTACAATCTGGGGCGAGAACCAAAAATAAGAGCATGGAAAATTAAGGAATGAAGTAGACAAAAAGTGAAGGAATCGAAACAAATTGTATTAGAGTGAAGAGAGAGACTAAGCACTTAGATGCACGCACAGATTTATGTCTGACCAACATGCACACATCACATCAGAAGAAGAAGAAGAGGCAGTTCAGAGCCTAGTTAGATAGCTTGATGAGAAGGAGAGATCTCATAAAAAATGACAGAAAATGCGTGTAAACAAGATTTAAAAGTTCTCTTCTAGAAAACAACAGATAGTTAAGAAGAAGCCAATGAGGACCCCTCTCTTAGGCGATGTCAGGGAAAAAGGTGAAAAATGAGTCCTAGTGAGGTTTTAATTTAAAAGGTCATGAGATCTGCAATAGAGAGCACTGAGAACAGGAAGATTGCAACAAGTCACTGAAATATGAGAAGTTACCAGAAGGAAATGGCAGGAATGTTGAACTTGATAGACAACCAATTACTGAACGTATCCTTAAAGGTAAGTTTTTAATGATGGTTATATGCACCCCATACCATCCTGTGGGCGTTCAAAAGATTACAGAGGGTACTAATTTGGGCCAGGGACTGGACCCAAGTTTTGATAACAGGCAAGTTAAGAAGTAATGAACACAATTTCACTGGGAATGAAATCAGAAAGTAAAAGGGTTATGAACTCCGTGTCTCTAGTCACTTATCATGACAAGTTCAAGGTAGTTTCAGATTCATTGATAATTAATGATCCACGCTGGCCCCAAAGTTTGGATCTGACCTAGGTACCGGTAATAACTTTTCTAATACAAAGTATAGTGTTGCTACTGTCTTCTAAACAATTGTTATTTAAACCCGTTTATACCATCTACAATCATAACAAATACACAGCAATCACACTTCCACACCCGCACAACACATATTAGCAAATATACATGTAGCACACACACACACACAAAACACTCCCCCCACACACACACACACACACACACACACACACACACCACAACACCACAACACATCCACATACACACGCACACACAACACACACACACACACACAACACATAACACCTAACACAGCCACACACTGCTCATACCGTGAAGAGCAACCGGTTAAATAGGCTCGGTCCAGCAGTAAGACCTTCGACCCCGCACCCCCCAAATCGTCCAGGTACACACAGCACACTCGACCCCAATCTCACAGAATCACACACACACCACCATACACACACACACACACCCACCAACACACACACACACACACACACACACACATACACACACACACACACACACACACACACGACCCCGCAACACAAAGTAGTACAAAAAGCACACACACAAACACACAACACACACACACACACACACACACACACACACACACACACACACACACACACACACACACACAGCACACAGCACACAGCACACATGCACACATGTGGTAATGCTTTATTTACAGCTAGCAAAGTCAGGGTATTTCTCCAGAATGGTCTGCAATATACCACTGTGGATAAAATACTTTGCCATTTCTTGAACATTTCTAAAGTGAGTTGTTTCTAAATTCATTAATTTTATCACACTCCAGTACATAATGACGCAGGGTGTGACAATAGTCCATCTGGCAAAGTTTACATTTCTTTGGTCTACATCTGGTGGTGGTGATTTAACCTGCCAAAGATACTTGTAACCCAGCCGGAGCCGGGCAGTAGTGACATCCAAGAGTCTGCTTATTTTGTTGGATGCACCATAGACATTGGCTCCTCCTGCATGATAGAGTGATGATAGATGGACTCACTGGTGTCAATCTCCCTGAGCCTTAAGTCCATAAAATTCAGTTGAAGTTCTTTTCGTATTATTGTTCTCAAACTACTACCTGACAAGCCAAGATTGTAATCTACTCCCTCTTTGAAAGCATACAGCTTAGCCAATTTATCAGTTCTATCATGCATCTGAAGACCATGTGAGATGGAATCCACAGCATGTGCACTCTGACTCCACTGTTACAATCCTACCATACCTGTGTCTGGCTTCTGACACAAGCATGCCACAATTTATGCTTAATGATTGAGAGCATTTATGGATGACAGAGAATCAGTTACAATTAAACTGTCAATCTTAGATACATAGATGCATTTCAGTGCAAGGAGTATGGCAAACAGTTCTGTCTGAAGGGTAGAGGCCCAATTATTGATGCATGCTCCAATTTCTTTAAGAGAGCCATCACTCTGTACGACAACAGCAGCACTACCAGCTGCACCAGTGGATTGGTGAACAGAACCATCAGCGTAAATAATTTGCGAGTGTGTGTGCTGTGTGACTAAGTTATCAATACAGCTTAAGGCCTCATGTTTGGCTTCAAGGCGAAGTTTTGGTTGTGATTTAAGAAGTAGTTTGGGGGGAAATGGAGGAATGATAGTTTGGAATGGGGTAATATTCCATGGAGCGGAGAAGTGCCGCTGTTGCCTTACTTGACATAGATCATGTATCTGATTCATGCGGAGGTCGGTTCCAGTTTTTTCGATCCATCTGGAGGAGTGTTCACCAGTGCTGAGGAAAGTTTGGAGGGCTTCTGTGCAGGGGTTTGAATGAGCTTGCCTGAGCATATTAACCCCAATTAGGATATTTCTTTCAGTAACACGATCTCTGATGCTTGGAATATCAAGTTCTTTTTGCATATTTAAAATTTTGGCAGTACGAGGGCATCCTAAAATGATCCTCATTGCTTCGTTCTGCAGTTTTTCCAGCCCTCCAAGCTTCCAGTCAGACACAAGAGCAAGTAGTGGCACAGCATAATCAACCAATGATCTAATATAAGTAAGATACATCATTTTCACAATTTTAACATTAGCACCATACCTGGGGTGAAACCCAGCCACAACTCTAAGTGCTCTTAGTCTTTCTTTGTATTGGCGACAAAGTCTTGTTACAAAAAGGTCCAAGTAGTGGAACCTCAAGCCTAGATACCTGTATCTGCTTACATATTCTAGAAGAGACCCATCATGCAACTGGATCTGACGAACTGTGCCTCTCTGTCGAGGAGGACGCCTATTGAGTATCTTTGTTTTATTAGTAGAGATTATCAACCCCAGGTCCTGACACGATTCTAGTACATGATTAAGAATGTTTTGGGTATTGGAGAATCCGGTGGTGTGAATCATTATATCATCAGCAAAACTAATCACATAATGATGGGCTGACTAGGCATAGCATTAAGTAATGCATTAATTAGAATATTGAACAGTGTGGGACTGAGCACACCTCCCTGTGGTGTTCCTAATTCAAAGTCTTTAGTTACACTTCTATGTCCCTGGAACAACACAGACGATTTTCTGTTTGACAGGTAGCCTTTAATCCAGCGGAGAAGCCATCCTCCAACATCCATTCTGGCAAGTTCACTAATGATTACATGTCGGTTGGCTACATCGAAAGCAGATTTAAGGTCAAGGAAGGTAGTGTATGAGCTGTCAGTGTGCAGAGTGAGAAATGTGGCTATGCAATGATGCACGCTCCTTCCATGCATGAAACCATGTAACCGGGGAGACAAAAATTGTTTGATTCTGTACATGAGACGATTAAGAATCATTCTCTCAAATGTTTTACACAAGCAGCTAGTAAGAGATATTGGGCAAAATGCATTTTGTTGATTGGGCTTAGGAATTGGAATGATGAGGCTGTTGGTCCAAGATTGAGGGAGCTCCCCAGTTACATAGCTCATGTTATATAATTCAAGTAATGGATTACCTGGTACTCGACACAGCAATCTGAGTATGTTGTAAGTAATACCATCCTCACCAGGCGACGTGGAGTTGCCCTTAGTTAGTGCTGCATCAAGTTCATAATTAGTGAAAGGAATGTTGCAATCATCTGCCTTGCTGAGCATAAAGCAAACAAGTCTCTCCCTTGCATCATATTTGTCATTTAATTTTGCCTGTGTGGTACTGGGAAGATGTAATGGAGAAGATAATCGGGAGTGATAGAGTACTTGTAGAGTATAGGTTTAGGGATGGCAATTTTGTTTCACAAACCTGTTTGAGTGATAAAATAATAGAACTGAGACAGGAGAGAGGTCGGTCAGTTGGTCGTCTTGACAAACTGGAAGATTGATCAGATGAGTAAATAGTTACCCAATTTCATCTCTAGCTAATGCAGTGTTTAGAAAATTGGAGAAAGGGTGAGAAGACTGGAAACTGAGTATGGACTTGGGACACAAAGTGCAGACCTCACTTAAGGAGAAAGACCTATGAGTGAGCATGGTGACCAGCATATTGCTAGAGGCATGCATCATCTGAATAACCTATGCAGCTAATGTTTGTTTGGCAAATCTAAAGGTAGCCTTTAGGAATCTCAGCAGTGACATTGATGAAATAAAGTCAGTTGACCAGATGAAATTGCTGGCCCACAGATGGCTCCAGCTTCAACCTATTCACTATTTGTATGTCTCATGACAATGTAAAGGCTTTCAAATAAGCCGAGGTAAGTAACAGCCCTTAACTTGTAAATACAACTAGGATCTCTTAACCTAACCCTGTAAAACCATTTTTTTTTTTTAACAAGTCAGCCGTCTCCCACCGAGGCAGGGTGACCCAAAAAAGAAAGAAAATCCCCAAAAAAGAAAATACTTTCATCATCATTCAACACTTTCACCTCACTCACACATAATCACTGTTTTTGCAGAGGTGCTCAGAACACAACAGTTTAGAAGCATATACCTATAAAGATACACAACAAACTGCTAATTGTCATAGAGTCGCCAGGAAGTGGAATAGCCTAACAAGTGATGTAGTGGAGGCAGGAACCATACATAGTTTTAAGACAAGGTATGACAAAGCTCTGGCGGCAGAGAGAGGACCTAGTAGCGATCAGTGAAGAGGCAGGGCCAGGAGCTGTCTCTCGACCCCTGCAACCACAATTAGGTGAGTACGTACGCGCACACACACACACCACACACCACACACACACACACACACACACACACACACACACACACACACACACACACACACACACACGCACACACACACGCACACACGCACACACGCACACACGCACACACACGCACGCGCGTCATGTCCAGTGAGATGAGGTTAAGGATCAACCTGAGGACAGGAGGGATAGGGAACACATGATACAACATATAAAATACTGAAAGGAATTGACAAAGTGGGTAGGGACAGAATGTTTTGGAGATGCAACATAGCAACAAAGGGTCACAGCTGGAAGTTGAAAACTCAAATGAGTCACAGGGATGTTAGGAAGTGTTTCTTCAGTCATAGAGTTGTCTGGAAGTGGAACAATTTGGAGAGTGATGTAGTAGAGACAGGATCCATACATAGCTTTAAGAAGAGGTACAATAAAGCTCTTAGAGTAGGGAGAGAGTGGACCTAATAGCAACCAGTGCAGAGGCCTTCCCAGGAACTATGAATTCACCCCTGCAACCTCAGATAGGTGAGTACACACACACACAATCCACACATAGCTAATTTTAAGAAGAGGTACAATAAAGCTCTTGGAGCAAGGAGAGAGTAGACCTAATAGTGACCAGCAGAGAGATGGGCCTAGGAGCTGTGGCTCGACCCGTGCAACCACAAATAGGCGAGTACACATGCACACACTCTTTACATACATACACACTGACAAATGGTAACCAACACAACAGACTAGGCCTGTTGATAAGTGTCTTCATCATTTAGTAACTAGCTTGTGGTGACTAAAACACTTGGCTGCTGCTCCCCAAGCCTTATTTTGCTCATTATACTTATCTGAAATAGTAACAAAAACAAACATAAACTGAAAGAAACAACATAATATAATGTAATGTACAAAGAACATACACTGTGGTGTTATTCCCTAATAAATAAAGCATTTCACCCAATTATTACACTCCTGTGTACAAACATGTATCATGCTAAAATAAAATTGTTATTACTCATTATTATTATTATTATTATTATTATTATTATTATTTACATAAAATGTGCATGGCTGTAACAAATCCAGTGCGTCCCTGATCACAGTGTGCACGAATTACAGTAATCCTTAGGATAAGTACAAAATGATATTTACCAATATCACATTCTCATCTCCTAGAAACTAATAGTAACAGTACAAGTACCGTGCAGTACAGTGAATACAGTATTATCATCACGTTAGGTAATCATTTCAATATATGAACTCACTCCCAGACATAGTGATCAGGAGGCTTACATACACAAACAGACTTTGTTAGAGGAGAAGGCGGAATGACTTGACTGGATATTTCACTAAGTAAATCACAGTTCTGAATACAATTACAAATATTTATTTCTTTGTGTGGTACAAAATAATGTAGTTTACACTTAATAAAACATTGGAAGGCACAAAAGAAAGCCACTAGTATGCAATGCCTTTCTGTCAAAAAATCATTGCCTTGGCATCCCTAGTTTTGAATGTATTCATTATCCATCCCATCATTTTCCTAGCAGATGTTGTGATCCTTGAAAGTGAGATTCTCTGAGATTATCACTCCTATGTCTTTCACATTAGTTTTTATTTCCTCAAATTTTCCATGGCGGAGTAATTAAAATTTGTCTTCATTGAACTTCATATTATTTTCTGATGCCCATTTAAAGACTTGGTTAATGTGCGCTTGGACAATAAATATGGTTGCTGTAGTGTTGTAATTTGCAATATTATTGTTTCAGGCATGAAATGTTGTATACTACTTTGCAATGCTTTTGTTATTAATTTAATATCTTACTCCATAGGTATGCATTGAACAGCAGTATGACAACATAACCTGTGCAAACCTGACGGCATACCCTGAAGAGGAGGAAGTGGTGCAAAAGATTGTCACAACGATAAATATGTACATAGACCTGGTGACCAATATTCCAGCTGTCTTCTTTGTGCTGTTCCTGGGATCCTGGAGTGATAAACATGGACGGAAAATTCCTCTCATGTTTCCTTTAATTGGAAGTTTTCTTAGCACAGTTATATACTTCGTGAGTTCTTGATAGATTTTCTGGTTATATTTTAGCTTATTGAATTATATACCTCTAGTAGGTTTATATTTGGTGGGTTTGCCTTGTTAGGTATTCTAACTAATGGGTTACTGAAATATTTTACTATAGTATTACTGGGGGTAACTGTAGAAAATTATTCCTTTTGTATGCCTTCACTTTTAACTATTTATTTATTCTCCTGCACTAATGTGAAAACAACTTGTACAGAATGTGTTTGTACTGTGGGGTAAATGCTTCACTAACTCATGCAAATGTACTTGTATGAACCAGAAGTAGACAGGCATTAATACGTATTCAGTCTAACGGAGTGATTTCCCTTACGCTTTCATCTGTTTGTTTACATTCTCGGCATCTCTCTCGTTTGCTCGTTCTCTCTCTCATTTATGATTGTATCTAAGGGTAGTTCTTAGAAATGATTAAACTCAGTGAACATGATATGTTAGTGGTAATAATAATAACAACAATTCATACCACGGGCGGGGATAGAACCCGCGATCAAAGAGTCTCAAAACTCCAGACCGTCACGTTAGCCACTGGACCAGCTAGCCACAATAAGATTCGTCCAACTAGGTATATTTCTACACCATAGGAAGGTTAGCATAGGCACCACTGTGACCACAGATGCAAGTTTTTTAGTCATGTTGATGGCTTTGAGGGGACTTGAGCTAGAGTTCGCCACGGCCACGCTAGATGGAGATTCATCTGTAAAAACTTGCATTTGTGGTCACAGTGGTGCCTATGCTAACCTTCCTATGGTGTAGAAATATACCTAGTTGGACGAATCTTATTGTGGCTAGCTGGTCCAGTGGCTAACGTGACGGTCTGGAGTTTTGAGACTCTTTGATCGCGGGTTCTATCCCCGCCCGTGGTATGGTTTGTTTGCAATCGTGTCATTACGATTTCGTGAGTCAATAATAACAATGCTATGGGGAGCTTTAAATTTAAGTTGTATATTTCGTGTAGGTGTGGTAGCTGGTGTGGGAGCTGCCACACCTGACTTTCTAATAGTACTGTAGTAATAATAATAATAATAATAATAATAATAATAATAATAATAATAATAATAATATGATAATAATAATATGATAATAATAATGATATGTTGTGTATATTTATACGTATATGCTTCTAAACTGTTGTATTCTGAGCACCTCTGCAAAAACAGTGATAATGTGTGTGTGGTGAAAGTGTTGAATGATGATGAAAGTATTTTCTTTTTGGGGATTTTCTTTCTTTTTTGGGTCACCCTGCCTCGGTGGGAGACGGCCGACTTGTTGAAAAAAAAAAATAATAATAATAATAATAATATATCTTTATTTCTACAAGTATATGTACTACAAGGTATACAGGCCTAGTGACATTAATGATATACTACTATATAGAAAGCCGCTTGTTATACAGAGCATTTCGGGCAAATTAGGTCAGTTTTGTTCCAGGATGCGACCCACAGCAGTTGACTAACTCCCAAGTACCCATTTTACTGATGGGGAACATAGACAAGCGGAGTAAAGAAACACGCCCAGTGTTTCTATCCTCACTGGGAATTGAGCCCGGACCCTCGCCGTGTGAAGCGAGAGCTTTAGCCACCAGGCCACGGGACACAAACAATAAATACCACAATATTACAATAAATACTAAACTACTACAATAAATTTAACCATTTCACCCTACAAAAGATACAAATATTTTAAAGGTAAGTAATAAATGTACTGTGTGTAATTTTATTTTTTTTTTTTTAAACAGCCTCTCACTTACGGTGTCTTTTTTTTACCAGTGATCGGCTTACGACGGGCTTCTGACCATAGTATCCCCCAAATAAATAATTTGGCTGTTTTCCTCTTTTTTTGTTTTTTAAAGTATACAGTACATACGTATAAACTTTAAAAAAAATATGCCAGAAATTTTTTAAAAATTTATGCAAAGGGTAACAAAAATAATATCAAAGATGATTGAAACAAACCCACTAATTAAGTATTCCCCTCACTTAGCGACAAATTTCATTTATGGGAGGTTTAAAACAAAAACCCGCATTAAGTGAGGAGAGCTAATAGCTGGGGTTTTGTTTTTGGGTTTATTGTGGAAACAAAAAACCCCCCGGGTGATCCCCCACCACCCATGGGTTGGTCCGAGTGGGCCGGGGGGGCTTTTGACCCCAAAACCCTTCCAGGTAAACCCCGGGTTTTCCGGGTTGTGTAAACTTGTTATTGGATTTATATGCTTTTAAAAAAGGAAAAAGGGGTGTTCTGTTTTACTGATACCACTTTAGGTGGTAGCCCAGAACCTAACCTACTGTATTAAGGGGGGCTTTTTGTATTTTTATGAAACTGTGTGAAAGGGATGAACCACTAAAATTGCTGTAAGCATACACTTTTGTTTTTTATTAGTTGTTTTTTTAAGAGCTTTAAATGACCTATTAAGTTATGTGAGAGGACATCAGCTGATCAAGGCCCTTGGGAAAATTTTTCCTGTTTTTTTTGCTAAAGTCACTTCTGAGAATATTACAGCCCCCAAAAAGAAAAATTTTTAAATGTGATGAGAATAGGATATTTTAGAAGCCATCAAAAACTTTAATTAGCAAAAAATAAAATGTGCACTTGTTAGTGGTATTTGGGTTTTTTATTTGTTTGAATTTATATTGAGATGTTAACGGTTAGAGTATTTGGCACATTTTACGTAATCAGTTTGAAACCCTTTAATTTTGAAATAATCTTAAAAATAAAAAATTTTTTTGAGTTTTGGGGGCAATAATATATAGTTTTAAATGGTTAATTTTTGGGTGGGGTGTTTCTAAGCAGACCCTTTTAAATTTGGTGTGTAGGCAGGGCCCCCTTTTGTATAACAAAAAAAAAAATGCCCAAGTTGGGACCGACACGTGTCGAAAGTCCTCTCTTCTTGTGGGGGTTTTATTTGTGATTGCCCTTTTGTATGTTCAGGCAATGAATTCCAGACTTGGGGCCCCTTTTAGGCATAGATTTTTTGCATAGGGAGAGATGGGCACAAGGGGTATCAAAGGTGGTTTTGGTTTGTGTTATGCAAATCTTCTGGTAGTTCCAAGAAGTTTAGAGGGGGGTTAATATTGGAGAATAAGTTCGTTTATGTAGTGGCACAATAAAAATGAGTGAATTTTTGTATGAAAACGGTCAAGCTCTTAAATAGTGGTGGAGTGTTTGCCTGGGAAGGAGTTTGTAATCAATCCACGCAGCTTTTTTTTTGGATTTTTAAAGGTTTTTGGTGATTTGCTGTGGTTGAACTTCCCCTTCCCAAAACAAGCCACAACACATTGTAAAGTTGGCTTTTTTTTTTTTTGGGGTCTGTGGAATGCAACCCATTTTTTTCATTTGGTCTCAGATTAACTATCACTAATTTTAAAGCAGGCAGATTTCCCGGAAAGTAGCACTTAAAATTTAGTTTGTTTAATAGTTTTTATTAGCCTTTCAGTATATGGTGATTTAATTTTTCAGATTTTGTATTTTCCTCATAAATTGTTGTGGTGAATTATCACATTTGAAAAAGGTTTTTTGAATTTGTTTGAATGGGAAATTGATCAGTATCTATAAATTACATGTACATATTTCGGGTAAAGCATTCGGGGGAATTCCCCGCATGTATGTCTTACTTGCTGCGTTCCCCGGGCCATAACTGGTGCTTATTACCCTGCTAATGGCATCATATTCATAAAGGCTGACATAACTAAAATTCAGGGAAAAAACTAACGTGTTGCATTTTTGGACTTAAGCTTCGGGTTAGGGGGGCCCCAAATTGGGCTGTTACTTAGTGCTTTCTTTTTTATAGACTTGAATATTTGGGAAATTTTTGGAGTAGTGGAATCATTTTTTTTATTGCATAAAATTTAAAATATTATGGTATTGAAAACCCGTGGGCCTTTTCAAGACTCATCTTTAAGTTCTAACGTCTCACAACCAAGTATTTGTGCAGGGATCTCTTTTATTAAAAATATCAAGGACACATTTTCTGTTGTAAAAAACCAGACCAAACAAAGGAAACAAGCAAGAATCCTGTTGCTATGGGTGCCATTTGCAGTATTTTGTTGCTTTTGGTAAGATTTTTTTTTTCCTTTTTTCTTTTATAAATCCCTGTCATTTTTAATTGGTTACTTTTTGCTTATTCGCATTTTCTAAATTTGTACCACCAAGGGGCTTGTCAGCTAGTTGGGGCACCAGTTGATGACCATGTACAGTATACAGGGTTTATTCAACAAACCCCTTGGGGGCTTTGTTCAAAATATGTATTCTACTTTGGGTTTTGATGACTCACAGGAAATGCCCACCTTTCCCCAAATTACAGGTTTTTTTGGAAAAAAGGGGGCAGGGCTTAGTCCCCTGCCCCTAAAACGGGAACCAGCCTTAAGTTAAGGTTTTCACCAAATCTTTTGACAGTCACACGGGATTCAGCGCAGAGGCTTTTAAATTTGGAGCTTGGAAAAGCCCAAATGCAAAATAGGGGCTGGCTGAATCCCAACCTGTATGCAAGTAGATCCTCATTTTTTTTTTTGCATACAGTAATAAAAGATCAGGCAAGAACCCTGCTTAGGCCTGTACAAAGTCCTCCCTTTCCCCAGGCAAAATGGAGTACCCAAAGGGCAGAATCTTGATTTTCATGTGATCCAGCCTGAAACACCTTTCAGGTCATATGGGCATGGTACTCCTTTTTTTTTTTTATATTTTTTTTATTATCACACTGGCGTTCCCACCAAAGGGGCGGGTGGCCTGAAAAAAAAAAAATTTTTTCACCATCTTTTACCCCAAACCCCTTCTTCCCCAGAAGGGTGCTTTACACACAGTTTTTAAATTGCAACTTTAAACCCCCCCTTTTTTAGTGCGGGAAATGTACTTCCCATCCCCAGGACTCAAGCCGGCCCTGCCGGTTTCCCTGAACCCCTTCAAAAATTTTTACTTGCTCACCCCCCAACAGCACGCAAATTTAAAAACCCTTTGTCTCCATTCACCCCTACAAACACGCTCACGCATGCCGCTGGAAGTCCGGGGGGGGGGGCCCTCGCACCAAAACTCCTTTACCCCCTCCCCCAACCCTTTCCTAGACCGACCCCCTCCCCCGCCTTCCTTCCCACTACAGAGATACACTCTTGAAAAGTTTTTTCTGTTTCGACCCATTCTCTCTACATGTCCGAACCCCCCTCAACAACCCTTCCTTCAGCCCTCGGACAAAAAGTTTTGGAAACCCGCCCTCCCCCTAACTTCCAAATATGTTCTCGCATTATATTCACACCACACATTGCCCCCAGAATGAATTTTCCACTGCCTCGGATTCTCCGCGCAACATTCATCACCCATGTTTCCCCCCATAAAAGAGCGTTGGGAAAACTGTACTTCATACATTCCCCCCTTTTCCTCCGGACAAAAATTCTTTGTCTCCACAACTCCTAAGTG